GACTATGCCCTCTGTGTTCAAGTCGATCTTCATCCCGATATTAACATGCGGTCATGAGTCATAGTTCACGGCTGTTAAACTTCTATCAATAGTGAAGAAAGACTGAAATCGGCTATCATAGATGAACTGAGTATAGAATATCTCAGAGTGCCTTGGTACATACCCGCTGCTTCTCCAGATTGAGAAATCAAAGCTAGGACAGCTTGGGTAATCTTGCGAATTTTTCTAAACAAAAAGGTGAAACGGGTATTGCTTACTCAATGGGCCAGTCAAAGATCCTAATGATGACAATGATTAACCTGTGGCAGTTGTTTCGACGGACTCTGCTACACGCTGGCACAGAATCGGAAACGTTGAAGGTACTCTCTGACAGGTCTGCCTTCACCATCCAAAGGTAGAATCGGTTATCAAAACTGACTAACTGCTTGACTGTCACAGCTTTCCTAATCATATCTGGAATTTCTTCCACTTAAGCTCTTTTATCACCATCCAGGATGTAGCCGTTGTCGTCTTTGTACAGTCTTGTTTAGAAATCCTCCATCTTTTGGGACATGAGTTTTTTTATTTGGACATTTGTGACCTGTCGTTTCTCGATCGCAAATCTTTGATTTGATTTTTTCATGTATACATATGTCGTGAAAATTCTTATGACTACAATATTAAATTATTAGCCTGTGGGAAGGAACAGTTGGAATTATGCATCATCTGAGTTGTTTGAGATGTCTAACTGCCCTTTTGTTGTGGCAAAACATATTTAGCGTACATATTGGAAATTTTGCCAATAGAATGAGGAGACGCGTAGCTACGGAGTTGAAGCGCGAAATTTCTATGAAGTTTCTACCTTGATATATTGTCGTGTGGATTCCAAAAGCAGATGATATTATATGGGTTATGGAACTCAGTTAAGCTGTTATGTTTAAGATATTTTTTCTTTCCATTCTTTTTTTATCGTGGATAAAGTGTCCTTTCGTTTAGCCAATAATTGGTCATTCTTCGCTTATGGGGTAAGCAGAATGCTGAAAACTATTTAATAATAGTTTTGCCATCGCGTGGATTTTGTTATGACGGATGTAGCGAACAACTGATGAGTTACTATAATCGCTTGAGTGAATACACTTCGCAGCACATTATCAGCATGTACCACCCATGACGTTAACGTTTTCTGCTGACCCGACTTTCCATTCGATGTTTTCGAACGCTGTCTGAAAAATATTGTCTGTTTAAATACTTTGTTAGGCATTTTCTATTCTGTCTAGTTGATTCTGCAAGCATATTTATTTAAAATAAGGTAGATGTGTTTTTCTGGTAATTGATATTTTAGAATCGCTTAGAGAGGCTGCAGAGGGCTGACTACGAATTGAACTACACCCCAGGCAGCTCTTCGGAACAGAGTGCCAGCAACTACGCGTTTTCAGTGAATGAAGAATCGATCAGAACTGCGCGGCGCATTGGCTTCATTCAACATTTACCCGTTGATCTCTTTGCATCCGGCAAAAACACCGAGAAAGAGTAAGCAGATTGTTGTCTGTATCCCTTTAATATTGCAAATATAGCAGTCTGTATATCTAATCACTTTTAATTGGTTAATTAATTAGCAAGTAATTTCCGCATATTTGGTTGATGTGGATGGATAGCGAGGTCTATGACAGCCCCAGCGATTGTTAGTAGGGCCTGTGCATAAATGTTATTCGTTTGGGGCTACGATATTTGGTGAAATTATTAAACGTAATTCTTTTTCAGACGATTTTAGGCAGTATTTTGTTTGCATTATTTTACGGATGTTTCTGGTTTCAGAAATGTAGGTTCCAAAGTATTTGTTCATTGTAAGCTGCTAAAATTTGCATTACATAGCAAAAATTCATTCAGAAACTTAAAATTTTACAGAATATCTTTTTTTCGAATATTTACGTTTAAATATTATGGCATTTAAATACATTTATTTATGCGCTTCTAAAAAACATACAGGTTTTAGGTTAATAGATTAAAATAAGAAACTGTTAGAAGTCTGGAATAAAGCACTTTTATAAATGAAACTTTTTTATAAAAAGTTAACCAGAACGGTGTTTCGTCTATAGGAGAATATGTCATTTACAGTGAATATATTACAGTCATAGAGATCAGCAAGTTTACAATTAAAGCACTGTAACGGAGGCAAATAAAAACGCGGAGGTAAAATGAGGTGAAAGAAAAACAAAAGGAAGCAGGAAAATGAAAATACGTATTGATTAAATTGTAGAAATTAAAATATTATTTAGAACGAGGTTCCTACTATAGGATGGATCTTTGCACCTTGATTCGTCATTAACACAAGCTGCATTAAAGTCTTTGATCAAGCCCGATTTGCTTATCATGAGACCAGCAGTGGTGTTGTCTCGATCCGAGATCTTCACATCCTTGATACAACGCGGTACGTTTTATCAGTGGCATGCTTTACAATAGTCGAATGTTATGTGTTTCCATGATCAAAAGCAGCCATAAGTTCTTGGGACAGCACTAATTCGAGTATCACGATTAACGAATCGGCCTTCATTAAGGCGTTTGATGCAGCTTGTGTTAATGACGAATTGAACATCAAAGATCTATCATCTTAAATAACTTAATTTCTGCTATTTAATCTCTGTGTAGTTTTCATTTTCTTTTACTTTCACGTTATTTTACCTTTGCTCACCTTATTTGTCTCTGTTACAGATGCTTTAAGTTTACACCTGCTGTTCTCCATGACTACGATATTTTCACTCTATATTATATTCTGTGCTGAAAAAGGAATATATTTCTGTGTTCCATAAGCTTCAATTATTAAAGTGTTTTATTCTAGGCTTCTATTAGTGTCTTATCATAATCTACATTTATTTATAATTTAATTATTTTCCCAAAGTGGTTATGTGTAAAGCTTTACTTGCTGATAACGAGATCACACTTTTGATACAGATGGATGGGTATAGTGGCACGAAACTAAGAAATGTCACGTATAATGATCGTAATACTAAATGAAGCATTCTGAAGTGAGACCGAAGTTCACGCTACTGGTTAGTCAAAACAAGTTGATTTTTATTGCTGCATTTCGACATTTGCTCAGAGTTGGCACCCTGCGGGCGCATGTTGCAATGGCAACAAGTCGGCTTCAAATTCTTCAGGTGGCGTACTCGAATCCCTGAAAAGACAGTGGTTTCTCATGATTGCTCTTCCGCTTGTGCAAGGAATTCACCCCGTGTCACTTGGGTGCGAC